AAGGCTTTGATTGGACTGTTACATTTGAGGATGATGTGTGTGGAATTAGATAAGACCCGAGAGCTTTAAGGAACTAAGGTTGACTTTAGATCCCCACTGTATATAAAAAGCCTCCTTGAAAAATCTGCCTGTACCTGGCTTACAGAGTTCCCCACCTTACAGGTGACTTTCTGGCTGATGCAGGAACCTCAGGATATTTTGGAGATGTTGAGGAGATATGAATCCACCCAAATCTATAGGGATTGCAGGAAAAATCTAGTGGCAAGTTTTTGGTTTGGACTAGTAACCTCAAGAGGCTCTAACAAGTCTAATCCATACCCAGAGTAAGTGTCTATTCCATCAAGGCTAAAGCTCTGTCCCTTTCATGATGGAAGCACCGTTCTAGTGTTTCAGAAAGGTACCAGCTGGCAGGTTGATTACACTGGATTTGTCTTACCATATTCTCCATTAACCCGGAGCAGCTGACTTGAAAGACACATGATTGGAAAATCGGTGACAATATGTGACAACATGGGCGAATCTAAAGGGTATTATGCTGAGTGAAAAAAATTCAGACAGGGAAAGACAAATACCATATGATCTCACTTATATGTGGAATCTAAATAACAAAATAAAGGAGCAAACAAAACAGAAACAGACTCATAGATAAACCAAACGGATGGTTGTCAGAAGGGAGGGGCAGGTGGGGTCTGGGTGAGAAAGGTGAAGGGATTAAGAAGTACAAATGGCAATTACAAAACAGTCACAGGGATGTAAAGTGCAGTATAGGGAATATAGTCTATAATATTGTGATAACTGTGTATAGTGCCAGGTAGGGGCTAGACTAATTGGGGAAATCACTTTATAAATTACATAAATGTCTAACCACTATGCTATACAGCTGAAACTAATATAAAATAACATTGAATGTCAACTGTAATTGAAAAATTTAAATAAAATTGAAAGAGAATTGGTGACAACAAGATTCGGGGAAGAGGTGTGTGGTCAGACCTCTGCCATTGGGCCAAAACCAAAATAATCATAAGATAGATGTGTCCCAGGTGAATGCTTGCCAAAGCGTAACCTCAGCAGAGGAGGGCTTCAATAGTGGAGCAGACAGAATGACACACTCTATGGACACCAGTCAGCATCCTTCCCACTATGCCAGCGACTGCCTGCAGCCCATGAACACCCAGGTGAGTGCCCAGTCTGCCAGAAGCACACAGTAACCTTGAACTTCGGTGAGACAAATACCAGGCTGGTGGCCATGCATCACCTTGTTCACAGGCAGGAATAGAGACCACGGGGCCATTCTGCATGTCAATTACCTGCCCACCAATCACTCTATTCCACTTCCACCTGACACAGTGCCTGGCTTAAGGCTTGTTGGGTCAGGTACACCTCAGTCCATGACAGGCGACTCCAGTCACATGGTGACTTGGTGGCTTGGGGTCCGGCAATCAGTCTCCGCTAAGGCCCAGTAGCAGGACAAGAGTTATTTCTCAAAAGGAGAGTGTTTGTCTGTGGATGGCAGCAAGGCCTCATTCTGGAACTCTAAACATCTGCACTGCAGTTCACCTACAGGTCTGCCAAAGTCTCCAAACAGGCCCTTCTCTGCCAGTGAACCTTCTAGAACCACTGTGTCTACTGGAACACATGCCTTGTGAGGCAGAGCAGATGCACAGCAGCCAGACCTGTGAACAGCCATCTTATGTCTCAGGCCCTACTCAAAATTAGGGGCTTCCTGGTCACTCGATAAATGGGACACACTGCACAGTAGGTGTGCTAGGAAGGGTCAGCTACTCACCCTTTACCTTAAACAGGAGGTCTGGGCATGCCCCACACTTTCGGGTTGCAGAAAGGTCACTGAGGTAGAAGGCCACTGATTTGGGCTGAATTTATTCTCCATCCTCCAACATGCAATGTCTTACCAATAAGTTTAAAGTAGCAGCTATTCTCCCTCACCAGGTCCCATCACATGATGTCATCAGTGTAATGGGTCAATCACATGATGTCATCAGTGTAACGGATCAATCACGTGATGTCATCAGTGTAATGGATCGATGGTACTGGGGTGAGTGTGAATTCACTATTTCAATGAACCTACATATGGTACAGCCACTGCAATTAGAATTATCACTGTGATACATGTACAATAATCCACTGCCATTCTCCAACATATCTGTCTTCCTCTTTGGCCACAGAAAGAGTTGAAAGGAGGGCTTTATCAGCATTTGCTCCTTAAATGCGCTCTTAGCTCCTTAAAGCTGTCTAGTCATATCTGACTCCATGAACATCATTCTCAAAATTACCATCCCAGTCAAAGCCTCCGTAACATAACTGATGTTTACAGGTGTGCGCTGTTATACAGGAAAAGATTTTACTGAACGCATGCATATAACTTCTTGCCATAAATACAAGAATACTCACTGATAACTTTTGAATTCTAGAGGGAAAAAGTAATTTTTGCATCTTTGCTCAAAAAGGTATACTTTATCAAATTGCTGTACATTACATGTAGCTTAAGAGAAATTTTCCTTCAAGAGAAATTTTCCTTCAATCTGGAAAAGAAAACATTTGAAGAACAGCAAAGTTTCAACCAAAATGGCCGTGGTTAATGTTCTAATGCAGTGTATTTGATAAATAATTTTATTTCTGTGGCATGAAACAATTTAACATGGTAACCTGACAATGAGGGTATTGACAAATCTATCACTTCTGATTTGACAATGCATCTCAGATAATTTTACATAAAAAAACAAACCAAAAGAGTTATGTTTCCCTCTTTTACAGATGAAACACAAATACTTTGAGATTTTCCACGGGTCGTCTGAAAATTTTCAAAATTAGCCTGAGGTCAAAATGACTCCACTTAAAATCTCATTTGGGGAAGTTGTCAAAAATGTTAAAAGTTTGACACTTGACTAAACAGGGTCACCAGTCATTGAGAAACAATATGTAATTACCCATTTAACCCAAGTGATAATTACAAGATGTCATAGGCAAGTATGTAAAGTTACATAGGGGCCGGCCAAGTGGCACGTTGGTTAGGGGTTGGCTTGGGACGCCAACTCTGACCAGCAGGACCCCGGTTAGGATCCCACACGTGGGCCAGTGACGCTGCGCCCTCTACAGCTAAGATGGTGAACAACAGCTCGATCTGGAGCTGGGCTGCCATGAGTCACGGGCGACGGTGTAGGCTGCAGTGGGCGTGAACTGCTGTGAGCCACCATTCAATGGCTGGTGAGCGATTGCCTCACCTAGGAAGAGCGCAATGATAACACCAACATGGGTCAGTGAAGTGACGTCCTCCACAACTAGACTAAAGAACAAAAGGACAGCAACTTGTCTGTTCCCCTTTTCCAATTTCCCAATGCTGTTCCCCTCTCCTGATTCCCCAATAAAATCTTTAAAAAAAATTACATAGTTATAAAACATCTCTTTTAATATTGAGAACTCAGTTTTCTTAAGTAATCAGGGACCTCATGAAGAAAATATGAAGCACAGGAAATTTTTTTAAAGACATAAAATATTGGTTTCTCAGGCAAAATACTTAAAATGTAAAGAACACACTTTTTTTTTTTTACAATTTCTTACTAATAGCAGACTAATAGTCTAAGTAAACGTTTGAGTTTTTAGTAGAGAAAAAGAACCAAATCCTAGTTTTGCATTCATGTACTTTTAATTCAAGGGGAATTTTTTTTTCCCTAGGGGAAAATTTGAAAACCTTATAAACATATACATCCAATGTTAGCCATTCTGACCACACGAGATAGTTTCTTTTCCAAGATGCCTTTCCCACAAACCCACATCATTTAAAAATATTCATTCAGTACTGTTTTACTCTTCTTATTTCTCATTTGGAACAGCCTGTCACTCTCGTTTAGGACAAAATTATTCTCCTTTAACCTTAGGAAAAATGCATCCTGCATATCATTTATTATTAAAAGCACACCTTTGTTTTCATGCCTATAGAAATATGTGGAACTTTATCTTATTAGTCCTAGCAATGTCATGAACATATATTGATTAGGATTTCCAACTATCAGTACCATTGTTTTCTCTTTACAAAGAAAACTGGGAAGTAAGCAACTGCTGTCTGGCACATTGAATTTCTATCTCTATATATTTATCTATCTCTATATATTTATATCTCTCTATATTTATCTGAACTGTGTTTCTGGCAACTGTAGTAAGTTAAGGTTACCTACTTGGCAATATCTGTGGAGGAGACTTCTAAGTTTTTCTCTGTCCTGTTTTGTAATCTGATGGAAGCTGTGAGTAAATTTTAGGGAGGTGACACCCAGCAGTTGTCTTGACATCTCCAAAACCCATAAGAGTGGACAAAACATCCAGTTCTGTTCAAATTTGCTTTTCGTTGTCTTTTTGGCCTTGGGTGACTGGTTTGGGGTAGGGGGGTCCTTAGCCCCTTGAGAGCCCGCCATGGAGGTTCGGGGGCCTAACATTCAAGTGACATAGGGAGCAGACAGGGTGAAGTGGGAAGAGAAAAGTCAGGCAGAGTGGCCAGAGGCATGGGGGAGGTAGGGGTCCCAATGGGGACATCTCAGAGGGTTCAAGGGAACTGGGTGGAAGATGGAAAGCAATAGAAGGAGAAAGCAGGAGCAGCTGTGACGAGAAGAGAGGAGTTTTACAGGAGCCAGTTTGGGGAGACTTTCAATTTCCTAAAGAGGCCATTGAACTTCCAAATGGTCCTTAGCAAAGTCGTGCCAACAGGAAAGGCAGCAGGCAGAGCTGGCAAAGCACAGTTACCAGAGGGGTTCAAGAGCGGGTGCCTAGTGCACTGAGAAGCTCCCATGTTCTTACAAACAGAACCTTTATACTTATGAACAGAGAACCTTGGGGGCACCAGCCCAGCTTATGCTGCCTGGCTTCTACAAACAGAAACCCGGCGCTCTCATCTTTGTCTGGGATTCAGAGCTACCTTATTGAGGATACTCAATTCTTAGGAACCAACATCTGTCCGACGAGTCCAAGACCAAAAGTTTAGGAGTGGAACTCACCAGTGGATCTCTGATCAATCAGTCAGGAGTCAAGATGAGGGCTTCAGGGGCGCACACTTAGGGTCCCGAGTGAGGGTCTGTAGCCAAGTGATGAGCCTGATCCTATGCAAGTCACAGCACTGTAACTGTCAAAAAAACCCAAAAAAAACCAGAGCTGGTTAAAGTGGTCAAAACAGATTTTATTCAATACTATTGCAATAGGGGAAGATGAAATCTCAGTGTAGAATTGGGCTCAATTTCTGAATACATCAGGGGTGAGTAGAAATTTATAATCAAGAGGACTGGTAGGTGCCAGTGTGTGTAAAATTATTAAGAGGAAAGACCAAAGGTTCAAGGGGTTTCTGGCTAATCAGCCTAGCAGGATTCTTGCTGAAGATGGGGCCATGTGACCAGGTATCACCTGGTGGGTGTGGAGGTGAGAAACGTGGTAGATGTTGAGGGTGATCAGACATGGAGGATGAGAGACTTGCTACATTGACTTAGCAGGGTTTTTACTAAGGTTTTTATTTAATTTATTGGGGTGACAATGGTCAACAAAACTACATAGGTTTCAAGTGTACAATTCTATAACACATCATCTATTTATCACATTGTGTGTTCACCACCCAGAGTCAGTTCTCCTTCCATCACCATATATTTGATCCCTTTTACCCTCATCTACCACCCCTCTTCCCCCGCCCTTACTCTCCGGTAACCACTAAATTGTTGTCTGTGTCTATGAGCTTTTGTTTCTTTATTTGTTCGTCTTGTTCCTTTGTTGCCTTCAGTTTTATATCACACATATGAGAGAAGTCATATGGTTTTTGACTTTCTCTAACTTATTTTGCTTGGCATAATAATCTCAAGATCCATCTATGTTGTTGCAAACGGCACTATTTCATCTTTTCTTATGGTAGATTAGTATTCCACTGTGTATTTGTACCACATCTTCTTTATCCAATCATCTATGGAAGGGCACTTTGGTTGTTTCCATGTCTTGGCTGCCATAAATAATGCTGCAGTGAACATTGGAGTATATACATATATCTTTACAGATAAATGTTTTCAGATTTTTGGGGTAGACATAATACTTGCTAAGGTTTTACAAGCCCATATGGGTCTAGGAGAAAGTTCATGAGCCTGACTAAAGGTTGGTCAAACAAAGAATCTGCCATTACCAAAGGGAAATTGGACAGTTATGCCACAGTGAACATAAGGAAATGTATGTCTGGAATGTCACCATGCCTTGTGATTAAGGTCGATGAGAAAGTACATACAATAACCTGATCCAAGCAACAGTAGCAATGGCCCAGACCCTTCATGAATGAAGCTTTGGTCACCCCACCAGGTAAAGAACCACAACCAGCTGAGGAGCTTGTTGAAGAAAAGAAACACATAACATTCAGTAGAAGAAGGTAAGTATAAATATCGGCTACTCCTATGTGACCAGTTAAAGAAACAAGGACTATTACTGTCATAATTACTTTCACCTCCTTTTGCTGCAAATACACTTGTGTGTATACATATATGCATTAAGCAAATATCTTTGTTTTCTATCATCTCTTATTTCTTTATCATGGAACATGAGATGTACTGAATTGATATCATTGTATTTAAGTATTCTTACTTTGACATCATACTCTTCGTTGTAGAATATCAAGCAGAAGAGTTAACTTCACTACATGACCTTACCTCCTCTTCTGGGGAGAGGGTTAGTGTTTTTCGTTGAATGCAGGATAATTTTATATTTTTACACAGTTATGACATTGTGGTTGTCTTTATTTGAAGATTAAGTATGGTCAAAAGTGATGCATAGAGGTGTCATGGTGACAAAGAGTGGAACTTTTGATGGTTAGTTTTATGTGTCACCTTGATAGGGCTAAAGGAAGATCTGAAAGCTGGGAGAACATCATTTCTGGGTGTGTCTGAGGGTGTTTCTGAAAGGGATTGGCATTTGAGTCAGTGGACTGAGTAAAAAAATCCACCCTCACCAATGTGGTCAGGCATCATCCAATCAGAATAGAGAGCCTGAACAGGAGGGAAAAAAAGGCCACAGATGGGCAAATTCTCTCCCTTCTTGAGCTAGATGTCCATCTTTTCTTGACTGGGGACTTCAGCGTCCCCAGTTCTCAGGCTTTTGGTCACTGTGGCTCCCTGGTTCTCTGGTCACTGGTCTTGGGCTACATTATACCACCAGCTTTCCTGGTTCTCCAGCTTGGTGATGGCAGATGACAGGTCTTCTCAGTTTATATACTTTTGGCTCCTTACTTTTATATGGTATAGAGAAACTAAAAGTATTTGGGTCTGTTATAAACATATTCTTGCCACATGAAAAAAATTGCACCATAAAAAACATATACCTCTAGAGACTGTGAGATAATACAGTCATAAAATTTGCTAACCAGTTACAGAGTACTAGATATGACAATTTACAAGTGTTTGCTTCCTAGTTTTCTCTATAGAACAATGGTTAAAATTTAATAATCAATATGTTAAAATAAAACTATTAGAAACAATGATGAGGGAAAAACTATATACAAAGTATGAGAGGGAATTAGAATGTGTTTTGATTAGAAAAGTATGCATGAAATGTAGGACTTTTTTAGCAAAAAAAAAAAGGAGTAATTTTGTCCTTAAGTAAAATGAGAAAGAAAAAAAAATAGGACAAAATCTGAATGGATATAGAAAATTGTGATATTATATCTCAATTAAAATAAAATTTTAAAAAAACAGAAAAAAATTTTCTTCTAGCCCTGCAGTCAGGGAATGAACCCCACTGAAAACAAGGAGCCAGGAAGAACTTCCTCTCTAGCACATACCTTTTGCCAGAAATCTGGGACTCTAACCTAGCTTCAGAGAGCATACTCAGAATTATGAAAGTAAAAGTCAGTTCTTACCATGCTTCAGCGGACGCTTGTCCAGAGAACTGGATCAGAAGTTGGACTCACCAACAGATACCCAGACAAGCAGAAGAGCTGGAGTGGAGACGAAGGTGTCTCTCCAGGTGTCACGCCAGAGTGTCCAATGGTGGTTCCATCCAGGTCCAAGCCGCAGAGCCAGATAACTTAAAGATAAACAAAGCCCAACACTCACGACAGTGGTCAGGGCAGATTTTAGTTGGAAATATAATATTGTAACAGAGAAAACAGTCCAGTGTGAACTGAACTTGGATTTGCTCAGAGGTGAGGGGGAGAGTGAGGCAATGGGAAGGGGGGTGAGTGGAGGCTCCGTTTTGCAGAGTGAAAAATTACAACACGTGGGAAGGAAGGAGGGTGGGCCCACGTGTAACCCATGTGGTTTGCTAACTGGCCGTTAAGGGAATCAGGTTCCCACAGTCGCACAGAGACTGGGAGACTGGGGTCCTATTTTCAGGAGTTGGCTGGAACAGTAACTTCTTTTGACTGAGTTTTCCCAGGCATGCACCTTGGGGGGAGGGGAGGGTGCTAGGGTCGCCCCAGGGGTGCAGCTTGAGCTGAAAGCATCTGTTAGTGTTGCACCCCGTCCAACAGCTTATGAAGAAAGAGCATGCAGTGGGAAAGCTCTGTGCTGTGGGACGAGAGAGAACTTCACCAGATTTACATCATCGGGAAATCACAGCCTCTAAGAGAACTGGCGTACAGCGGGGTACTGGCGCCCCTGAGAAAAGCTCTGGGAAAAGCCCGCCCAGCGCCGGACCGCAGCTCCTGCGCGCCCCCTGCCGACCCACCCGGCGAGCTCCCGGCAGGTCCCTTTCATCTGCAGCTGCGCACCAGCCTCTCCGTAGCTTCCGCTTAAGGCTACACCTGGTCTCCCGCCTGTAGACGCCAGGTGGCGCTGTGAGCCAGCCGCTCTGAATCTTAGGATCACTGTATCCATCCAGTTTACACCTGCAAAATGAGGGGACAGGAGCTTGCACGCGGATGGGTGTGGGGGCTGGGGTGTAAGGGATAGACAGAGGGAGGCGAGCAGGAGCACTCAGGGTCCCTGACGGTCCGCGAGCCGAGAGCCCCCTCTATTCCCTCCTCCTTGCTCCTCCCACGCCCATAACCCCTCCCGGTAAGGCCCAGGGATCTTCCTGGTGGACACAGACCGTACTCATTTATTCTGGCGTCTTCCTCACAGGCAGACCTCACGGGCAGGGGTAACGTTTCAAGGACTAAGACCCGGACATTCAGAATCCCTCAACACCAAGCGCACCGCTCTGCGGGCCGCCCCTGCCTCACGTCCTGACTTCTGTCTCACCTGCCCGGTCCCACCACGGTCCGCCCTTCCTGCGCCTGACATCCTCGCGCCTGTTACTGTCCCCAGCGTTCCTGCTAATGCATCGGCCTCTTCTCGCGCCCTTACCTGTGGTCAGGACACACTTTCCCCTCTCCCCTCCCGCGTCCCCAGTTTGCCTCGCTCACTGCTCCTCACACCTGAGCACATTCTCAGACGTCTCCTCCAAGAGGCCGTCCCGGTGCGTCCGTCCGAGGTCTGACTCCTGTCATCTGGCTTCCCAGGCGCAACTCTCCACCCACGCTTGAGTTTTCTAAGTTTTCTGCAACCCTGCTGTACTGGAACCTCAGAGGATATGGAAACTTCGTGCCTGTTAATCCTCTGTGAGCTCCCTCCCGTGCAGTGGGCACGGGGTGATGGAAAAGACTCCTTTTCTTGAAGTTCAAAACCAAATAATGCTATTCCAATCTCTGGCACGCCTCACCTCTCCTCCTGTTACCTTCCCTGTAATCCCCCAATTTTTGCAAATAAGAACGGGATTTGAAGCTGTTCCCTCAGGAGGTCAGCACTAGGGGAGGAGGGCTGTGCCTCTGGCTGAGCCAGCTCCTTCACAAACCACAAGTAAATACAGTTTTCTTCTCACCTCCTTTGTATCCATTCTTTGATTTTGGTGGGGAGTCTCACCTTGCAGGATCCAAGTTAACTATGCATTCCCCGAGAATTCGCCAAGCTCAGTAATCAGTGCTCCTTTTATAAGCCATTTCATCAATTTCAACGTGCACATTTTCTTGCATTTTCCATCCTAGGGAGAAAAAGCTTCTTATAATGAATGGCATCTCAGGAAGCACATTGCCACTGCATATACACATGTAAACTTGGTCTGAGAGCCTTTCTTTGGCACTTTCAGGTGAGATCACCAGCATCAAGTTTTGCAGATCTGGTGGAAGTGACTTGGAGAGAAGTCTTGGGGATAAAGGAGTGTTACTTTATTAAGAAATGCCACAGCACCATCTCTGGTCATGACACACAGGGAGATATTACATGGAACATCTTGGACACTGGTGAGCCTGAGATTCAATCTGATTCTGAAGATTTGCATGCAAATGTGAAGATACTTATGAGAACCTAACTAATTTGTTTCATTTTTATGTATATAGGAGACATTTAAGTATAATGTGCAAAGGGCTCTTTCAATAAGTACAAAATAAGGATTATGAGCATTAAGTTATAATGCACTTGGGCCATTGTCTTTCACTAAGGTGCATCTTCAATAGATGATTCTTTGATCTGATGACATAGGCTATGTCCCAGTCATTTGCAATCAAAAGGATTTTATAAAAATTCTAACTTTGACATTCCTAATTGTATCAGAACTGCAAGGTTTTTTGTCTTCTTTTTGGATTTTATTTACTTAACCGAAACACTATTAATCAAAAGCCTAAAGCATGGTGTATAGGAATCTTTCAGTCAAGGTTTGCAGAAGGAATGAATCAGAAAATTGTTGGGAAATGAATTTTTAATAGATGGAAATTCTAAGGAGCTTCCACCTGAAATCCTAGAATACCTGTTATGAATTTTAGAATTTTTTTATGAAGGAGTGAAAGAAATGATTATTCTAGTAGTGCTTCAAATACCAGTAACCTATTTTTGTGCCACTAACTTGGTGAGGAAGATGAGGGTAAAACTTGAATTGACAGATAACTGAGTCTGAGTTACCACATCAGCTTTACCCACATTTAAAACGTTGTATCATATCTAATCATTAAAATATAGATATATTTGATACCAAAGCTGTCCCAGACTGTATTGTAGAAAATGGTGATAAAGCTGTGATCAAAATAGAAGTGTCTCTCAAAGATTATATAAATGCCTAACCACTATGCTGTACATCTGAAATAATACTGAGTGCCAACGATAATTAAATACACAGAGAGAGAGAGAGAGAGAGAGAGAGAGACAAAAAAATGTATACCTGTGTTAAGAAAATAATAAACTGTATTAAATCTGTAATGCTCAATATATACCAATAAGAAAAAATGAATACAAGTCATGTGTATACATTTTTTGGCACCCCTGGTATATGTTTAGTCAAATATATATTCATATAGTCTTGGGATGTAAAGTACAGCATAGGGAATATAGTCAATGGTATTGTAATAGCTATGTACGATGTCATAGGGGTAGTAGACTTGGTGGGGTTATCACTTTGTGAGAGGTGTAAATGTCTAATCATTATGTTGTTTTGTACACCTGAAACTAATAATTAAATTAAAAAAGAGAAGTGTCGCTATTCAAATGCACACATATTGTACACTATTTCTCAGGTACTTGTACGTCGTTGTGTAAATCCCCTTCTCTTGGTGTCCTTGGTCTCTCAGAGAAGGTGTCTATTTGGAGAGAAGTCAGGCTGTATGATTTTACTTGTATGTGGAATCTAAAAAAAGCAAAACTTGTAGAAACAGAGAGTAGAATGGAGATGCTGGTCAAAAGGTAGAGACTTGTAGTAAGAAGATGAATAATTTCTGAGTGGATAATGCACAGCATAACAACTACAATTAACAACATTGTATTATAACCTTCAAAGTTGTTAAGAAACAAGATCTTAAATGTTATCACCACAAAAAAATAAATGACAGTTATGTGACGTGATAGAGATGTTGGCTAACACTATTGTGGTGATAACATTGCAATTCACAAGTGTATCAACTCAACACCTTGTACACCTTAAACTTAAACAAGGTTATATTTCAATAAAAATTAGGATTCATTGTGAAAGCCCCCCCCAAAACTGATTTGGTCATAAGCTTACAAGAGATGCTCTCGTGCCATTGAACATCACAGTGAGATCAGGAACCAAGCTGCAGGCACACCTCCATGCCCTCGGCACCAAACAGGGCTCTCAGCAGACCTGCAGGAGTTTCCATAATTGCTTGTGCTTGCCCTGTTCCAATATAACTGAGGACACACCCAGAGTTCTGTGCGCCCCTTTCACCTGCCTAGCACATTCTTCCTCCAGGTGGACTGAGACATGGACTTTTAATAAGAACACCTTTTCTCCATTCAAGGTCATGGGCGGCAACATTGTGTTTGCTACCAGCATCTTGAGTGTGTGTCCTTGAAATGCCCAGGTCTCCTATTTTTCTTAGAGGGTTCTGGCCTCCCAGGCAGCACCATATGGGACATGCTCCTCCAAATTTAGAGTCCACCAAAGGACATTCTTGCCTATGGTTTAGTGCCAGCCCAGACAGAACCTATTACAATGTGTGGACTGACACTCAGGTCACAGCCAAAGTCAGAGTCAACGTAAGACCTCAGTGTGTGCCCACAGAGCGCATTGCTATAAGATAGGAGGGTCATACAGGGAACAAAGGAGAAGGTAAGACAGAGAAAGGACTTTTAAAGGGCCAGTCACCGTGCTACGTTTTTTGGGATGGCAATGCTTAAAGTTAACGCTTAAAAGCAAATGTAATGGTCTCTGCTTATGTCACTTCATAGCTCAGTCCTGCCATGTAGGGCACAGAGCCAAACAAGAGGTGGGCTCATTTAGTCTCAGTTTGTTTATCTGTAACATGTGGAAATGAATGCAGCATTGGGATTTTTTGAGGATAAAAACAAATGCCTATGAGGTATAACTCAAATCACTGCTAATACTCACTAAATTCATTTTAGGTGTCCGACTTTGTTCAAAGCCGTTCTCATAAACTATCAGGGCACAGCAGCTGTGTGCCATGGTTTAGTTTAAATATCAAGTGGGTCTTTGGGCAGCCGGTTAGCTCAGGTGGTTAGAGCGCAGGCTCATAACACCAAGGTTGTTGGTTCGATTCCCACATGGGCCAAGGAGCTGCACCCTCCACAACTAGATTGAAACAACCACTTGACTTGGAGCCAATGGGTCCTGGAAAAACACATTGTTCCCCAATAAAAATATATACATATATCAAGTGGTCTCTACTGAAGAAAATATTGGGTTGTCGGAAAAGTCATGATGCATTTTTGCAATGAAAAACAGAAAAAAATATGTCATGGCTTTTCTGACAACCCAATAGTAAACCCATATGTGGAAGCAATTTGGTTGGCAGGAGTGACAAGTGCCCCACATGACTGCCATCCCCCACAGGCATTTGATAGGAATCCCCATTTCCTTCTTCAAGGCATCCTCCAGAATTGGAGGAAGAGGAGAAAAGCTACCCAAGGAGGATGCAAAAATGGACATCAGATGCATGCTGGGTCGGTGAGGACATTCTTAAGCTTCCCAAGGGGCCTGGCCTGCTCACCTTGAGATTTTGTCATGCATAAAAATAATAAACTCATTACTTCTGTATGCAACCACAGTAAGATATTATTGTTTCATACCTTGCTACTTACAACATGCTCATGCGACACCTGTACAGCCGTCTGAAAGCAAGAATGCACCGGAAGTGGCGTCAAAGCCCTTCCCCACCATTCTCCCCTTTCCTCAGCTTCTGCTTTGTCCTCTGGTTGCCTGTTCCCCAATGGTTCAGGTGGGGAGCTGACCCAATGCTGCAGAGGTAATAAAAACAGACATTAGTGAAATAGCTAATGAAAGCAACATGGTTAAATTATTTAAAAAATATATATGAGGTGATGTTTTATAAATATGAAACTGATTCTCAGTCTATCTAGAAAAATGAGTCCAAGATAATCATGCCATTTTGTGACATTGAGATTTTAAAAGCAATTGGGCAGGATCTAGCAAAATTGTTAAGTAACAGCTTGTGGCCCTATGAATCTCTCTAACAAAATGCATATGTGGGGCTAGCCAAGTGGCGCATTGGTTAAGAACTGGCTTGGGACACCAGAGGGCCCCGGTTCAGATCCCACATGAGGGCCAGTGACACTGTCCTCTGCAGCTAAGATGGTGAACAACAGCTTGACCTGGAGTTAGGCTGCCGTGAGTCGCCGACGGTGGTGTAGGCTGCAGCCCCTGCTGCAGTGGGCTGCCATAAGCTACTGTGAGCAGCTGGCAGCCCGTGTGAGCTACCAAGAGCCGCTGTGAGCGGCCGTCCAGAAGCCAGCGACCAATCTGCCTCACCCGGGAAGAGCGCAATGATGGTGCCAACTTGGGCCAGTGAAGCAACGTCCTCCACAACTAGACTGAAGAACAAAAGGGACAGCGACTTGTCTGTTCCCCTTCCCCAATTCCCCAACGCTCTTCCGCTCCCCCAATTCCCTAATAAAATCTTTAAAAAAAAAGCATATGTGGGTTTAGTTATATGTTTAGGGATGTTTATTCCAACACTGTTGTAGCAAAGAACAACAATAATAAAATGAACAAAAGGTAAATATTGAAATATCAAGAAAAAACAGTAAACTGGAAAGTCACAGTGGCCTAGAGATACAAGGAAATACCATGGAAAGTTTTAGGAGAGCAAAATTTAAAAGAATCCCAAAGCTGTGCACAACGAATGATCAGGGGCTACAGAAGCTCATGGGCTATGTACCCAGCACGGTGGTCAGGAATGTGGTCTCTGCAGAGGAAGTGTGGGGTTGGCGTCATGAGCTCAGCATCTCTTCTCTCAGTGATTTTGGAACCAATCCCTCCTTATCTGTCTGTACACGTAGCATATTATGCAATGCATACGTTTTCCATGAGCATTAATTAAACTATGACAGACATTTATAATCAGTACCTGGGATATGCAGCATTCTTTATAAACACTAGCAGTCATTAATACTGTTGAAATTGTCTAGGGTATACCTGTCAATGGATGAATAAAGAAGATATGATATATATGTATATCATTTTTCATTCATCCATTGACAGAGGTACACTAGACAATTGCAACAATATTAATGACTGCTAATATTGTGTGTATATATATATCAGTGTATATATATATACACAGATATAGTATATATATGTGTGTATGTATATTATTATTATTATTATATTATAATAATAATTATTATTATTCAGCCATGAGAAAGAAGAAAATCCTGCCTCTTGAGACAATGTGGATAAAACTTGATGGCATTATGCTAAGTGAAATAAGTCAGACAGAGAAAGGCAAACACTACATAATATCACTTATATACAGAATCTGAAAAGACCAAACTCAAAGAAACGAGTAGAATAGAAGTCACAGAGACTGGGGGTTGGGGGAAATGGGGAGATAGATGTTGGTCAAAGGGTAGAAACTTCTCGTTATGAGATACATGAACTCTGGGATCTAATGTACAGCATGGTGATTACAGTTAATGACACTGTGTTATATACTTGAAAGTTGCCAAGTAAGTAGGTGTTAAATGTTCTTAGCCCAAAAAGAAACGGTAATTATGTGACATAATTGCGGTATTAGCTAACACTAAGGTGCTAATCATTTTGAAATATGTAATCGTATTAAATCAACACAGTGTCCACCTTAAACTGACATAGGGTTATATGTCAATTATATATCAATGAAGCTGGAAATTTTAAAATCATTAAAAAAACATGCTTGCTAAAATATTACAAGTAAGCAACCATATAAACTTTAAGTGGTAATTTTTCTTTCCTTTTAGTCAAATTTTATGTAATATGTTTCCTTCAAAATAACTTCTTTAATTTTTCAATTATAGTTGACACTCAATATTATTAGTCTCAGGTGTACAGCATGGTAGTTAGACATTTATATATTCAAAATAAGTTCTGGTTAAAACCTCAATCTAGTATGGCTGAATTTTTTTTTTAAAAAGACCTTTTTTTTTGCAAAAGAAAAAGAAATGATGGTCCTGGAAAAAACAAACTTCTGTATTTAATATTGGACCATTCATTCCATAGAAGAACATAAAAATTCAAATTCAATCAACACCAACAATTGCAGAGACAAATATGCCAAGGATATGAAGAGGCAGCTAGAGTATGAATGTGAAGGAACATTCCTGGTCTAACTCTGAGTACTTCCCAGGGATGCTTACGTGGCAGAGTAGGGTGTCCACCGAAAACCCTTGGCCAATGGTGGAAGGACGTCTTGGCGTTGCTCCTTAACCTCCTTTGCTTGCCCAGACTCTGTCCTTGAAGGGCAGATTCATTTCAGCACGTTTTCAGTCCCTAGGCTTGACAATTCCATCCACAACATTCCTAAGACCGATACCCCCATAAAGTTGATGAATATGTTAATAAACTCAGAACTCATGAATGTGACATATGATGATTTCACAACCTAGTTGTGCTTTATATAATAGTTAATATGTCCACAGAGCTTCAGACGTTTTCATGCTGAGGCTCATACTTTTCAGTATTTCTGTCTCACTCTACTAGACACGTGTCTTAGTAGGTGTGCGATACAATAACAGCATACACAGACTGAGTGGCTTAAACAACAGATTTTTCTCATGGTGTTGGAGGCTAGTAAGTCCAAGATCAAGGTGTCGGCTGACTCAGTTACTGGTGAGAACCCTCACCCTGCGTTATAGACAGCTTCCTTCTTCCTGTGCTTTCGTGGGGCCTTTCCTCATTGGGTGCACTTGAAGATACATGGTTTTATTGGGACATGACCCCATTATAAATCAAGCTTCTTCTAAGCACACTAATCCCATTATGGGGACCCACCCTCATGACCTCATGTAAACCTAAGCATCTCCAAAAGGTCTCACCTCCAAGACCATCACATTGGGGGTTAGGGCTTCGATATGTGAGTCGGGGATACACATTCAGTCCATAACAATATACTTTACTGTTCCTTTTTTTTTCTTTTAAGATTTTTTTAATTGGGGAGTTGGGGGAGGGGAACAACATTGGGGAATCGGGGAAGGGGAACAGACAAGTTGCTGTCCTTCTGTTCTTCAGTCTAGTTGTGGAGGATGTCGCTTCACAGGCTCAGGTAGGTATTATCATTGCGCTCTTCTCAGGTGAGGCAGTCACTCGCGAGCCATTAGGCAGTGGCTCATGGCAGCTGTGAGCTGCCATGAAAAGCTCACACCAGCTGCTCACCAGCCCCACTTCAGCCTACGCCAATGCTGGTGACTCCCGGCAGCTCAGCTCCAGGTCAAGCTGTTCACCATCTTAGCTGTAGAGAGCACAGCGTCACAGGCCCTCATGTGGGATCTGAACCGGGGCCCAGCTGCTCAGAGCTGGCGTCCCAAGCCAACTCTTAACCAACGTGCCACTCAGCCAGCCCATTACTGTTCCTTTTTATATATCTTTTTATGTCAATGAAAATCATTTCTCTGTCAGAATTCCCACTTTATTGCCATATGTGAGGCAGCAGGAAATGTTTCTACTTGGACACCAGTGTGTCTTCCACACTGAGCAGAGCAGGTACCATGTGTGTGGCTCAATATTTCAGTTTGCAAAAGGGAAGGAAATGCTGCACCCCTTTCCTTATTGACATTAGCCACACAAGTATACAAAACGTTATTTGGTCTTCTAGTAGATTGAAATTCTCTAGTGGCAACCTGCTGTATAGAGATAAAAGTGACACATCACTTTTTATAGTCCTGCCTACTGATTTATCCTCACTTCTTTTCTCATTCTCCTCACAAATCTGTGAATATGGCATGATTTCTGTAATTCACCAACATAGGTGATACCTTCTCACCTTAGGTATATGTGCCTTGTGGGTGATCAAGATATTTTAATGAAATCCCAATTCCTTTGCCTATGAACATACAGAATTAAATGTTTAGCAATACCTAGTTTTATGATGAACAAAATAGTACAGTGTTCTCTCTGTGTGTAGCTTTTTCTTTTCTTAGCCCACTCATCACTCTTGATAGAAAAATACTAGGCCAGGGAAAAATCAACAACTAGTATTTATGGAGCCTGTTGTTTGCTCCATATTTTTGGTTAATTTTTAGAGATTTTCTCGGACTGCTAGTTTTCAGATTTAACATAAATAGGAAATTAGGGGCGGCCGGTTAGCTCAGCTGGTTAGTGCAGTGCTCATAACACCAAGGTTGCCAGTTCGATTCCCACATGGGCCAAGGAGCTGTGCCCTCCACAACTAGATTGAAGACAACTACTTGAGTTGGAGCTGATGGGTCCTGGAAAAACACACTGTTCCCCAATAAAATTTCTTAAAAAAAAAAAGAAATTAAACACTGTCTTACCGACTGCTTTTTTCCTGCTGACCATCTGCACTGATGATGTAACATTTTAGGGCTCAGAAATTTGTGAAGTGCAGAGGTCAATGGCATTTTGTTTTGTTTGAACATGAGGATAAAACAATGACTAAGTATGACTTGGCCACAAATTAGTGCAATATTCTGAATCCATGAGAAAGTTACACACCAGGTGAATACTAGGAAATCCAGCTCTTCTTCATGGGCAAGGGCTCACGGCTGCAGGTGTGAAGACCTCGTGTCCACTTCCTGATCTCTATACCATGTTTGGGGAACATGCATTGCACCAGGACAAAACTCTTAAGCACACAACAAGCAACAGACCCAAAGCCCTCCTCTCCCCCATAACTCTTTGGGCATTGGGTACATGGAGTTGTGTTCTGAATATACAGAGGGTGCCAAAAAAATGTATACACATTTTAAGAAAGGAAAAAACTGTATTAAAATTGGAATCCAAT